TTATATTCATGGAATCCATGAACTGAAGTTTTCTTACACACCATAAATGACTCAGCGAGTTCCCTAATCTCTTTATCAGCAAAACATGGATCTTGACATTTTACCCACTTAGCCTTATCCAGTATTTTCAAGTTGTCCAGTAACTGACTGTATTTGTCCCTGTTTGACCATGTTGTGTTACTACTTCTAGTCGATTCGTGTGAAGCTCTAGTGGTGAACATTCGGGTGTTTATATTGTCGCTTAATTTCTGAAAGAATTGTTGTTCACTAATCTTCTGCACTTTCCCATGTTCTAAGCTAACTCCTTTAAATTCTAATTTATCAGCAGCCGTTAGAACTTCAGATAATATTCACCTGGATTATTTGCCATGGACTGAAAAACGTGATACTTAACAAGAACTGAATGATGTGCTTCAGGCAATGTGATTTTCTTTTCTTGTAATTTTAAAGACAGGTGTTCAAGTTCTGTTAAAACATCGAACAGAAGACCCATATTTAGAACAAAATTTACGTCGCTTAGTTTTCTTTTCAATCCATAATATTGAGCTCTCTCCCTTCCCGTGCGTTTTGGGTCTACAGACGCATTGTGAAAACGCTTATAAAGAGCAGGCTCTCACACACCGCGCACTAGACGATACCCAACGTATCGTTCCTAATACTCGTCCTATGGTATTTAATCTCATACTCAGTTGTGCAGCAACAGTTTCTAATTCAGATTTGTTCTTTGGAGACAGGCTGTAAACGGAATAGAGTTTATCAAAACATGATTGCATGTGGCACACTGTTGACATTTCCCGTACTGTATCATTCACCGCTATTTCTAATCGATGATTACTACAATGCCAAAACATCAATTGAGGATACATTTGGAGCAAAATCTGTGCAACACCTGCATGCCTTCCAAGTAAATTAGAGGCCCCATCACAAGCAAACGAAATCCAATTTCGTGATAAAAAGTCACTGTGAAATCCGTTACTCTTGATATTGTTGAGAAAGGCGTCCCTGATCGTTGCAGCTGTAGTATTTTCTAATTCCACTATATCAAAAAATAACTACTCGCATCCATGGAATCAGGCAGTTTGCAACGTAAACAGATTACAAGAGCTTCTTTTTTACTTCGAGTAGAAGTCTCATCGATCATGAATCCTATCTTAAAATCATTACCAATAATCTATTTAAGAAGTTTCTTTCTCATTTCATCTGCTATATGATCACAAATATCAGTGCACGCATGATTAGACTGCAAGATACGCCCCATAGCTAAACCATTTAGTTCTTGTAAATCGGTCAAAGCTGCTAAATCTGTCATGGGACGGTTCACTTTCGCTATTTGATAAGCTGTCCTAAATATGCGACAAGTTGTAACGTATTGTTTTCCTTGTGTTTTAACATTCAGACATTCAATTGTTTCTTTTTTAGCAAGGCCTAAAATGTCACTAGCTTTAACATGAGCTGCCGATAGTTTATGACAAGACAGTTTCTTCTTAATCGACTGCTGTATCTTCTCTTTTGTTTCACCATATTCCTTGACCCTACCTTCACACCACTCACTAGATAATTTCAAACCTTGTGTTTTTGCAGGCCCTAGAGTTCCCACTGATTTACACGTTGTACAGCCTAGCCCTTGTTTACTAATTGTCAACCACTCGTATATTTTCAATTTTTCTAGCCATTGATCTTGTGTCCAGTAATTAGGGAAATAATTAACGTCATTTTCATGCACCTGATTTTGAGTCATGCTGTTATCTATTGCAGCTGTATTCACACATATTCGTACAGTGGTTTCGTCTTCGTTGCAGTGGATGGAACTTACAATTGTTTCACTTTTACTTACAGTTGCACATGGTTCATTACTGCCACTTTCACTTAACTTGGGTTTCTTACTGTGAATTATCCATTTGTCCATTTTCACCAATAATTGAAAACTGATGCTGAACTAAAATAACATTTCGTACAGTTTCTGTCACTGAAGCAAGGATCAACCCAAGGACCCCCCCACTAAAATTTCTGGCTAAATTCCCATTGGCTGGAATAGAATAAAATATGTTTGTCCTTACGGCTGGGACGTATCATCAACAATAGAAACTTTTGTGATTATTTACTGTAAACGTCTGTCCTATCGCTTAAATGGGATGGGTTCTCACATTATTCTACAAGTTTATATATGTATTACCGGATATGAGAATACAGCCTGTACCCATCATAACTGTATTTGTAGTTTGCCGACTATGCTATTTTAACACCAAATTTATTTCTGTCCAATGAATTAGGAGGGAGTAGGAAATGTGTACCTCATTTTCTGCCAAGATATTGTGTTTTCATTTTCAATAAAATAACTAAGAATTCGGACGTGACATCAACAATAGAAAAACTTAAAATTTTGTTGTAAGCAACTGTTCTGCTGGAGACAGGCCACCTCCGCATTGGGATGGGATGGGATGGGTTGCAAGGCAAGAGAAGGACAAACTGTTTCCGACATTGAATAATTTATTATCGGTCTTAAGAATACGAAAATGAATATTTCCTTAACCTCTAGTTAGTTAGTTATTGGAGAGGGTGGGTTTCCCCATGCACTTAGGCCAGTACTGGTCCATTGTGCTTCCCTCTATGATATTCTACCAGTCTCTATACCCTACCGATATTGGTGCGTATCATCAGTCCCGACCGAGCCAGCGAGTTCGGCCTCTACTGGCTTAGCGGTATCTAATGCTTCCCCCATCTTTCAGAGGAGTTAGAGACTACTGTTGGGCGGGAAATGTCCTTGTATTTGGCTCAGTGACCTCCTTTGGAGGTATGAGGTTCTTTTACGTGCCCTAAAGCTGCGACATGGGACACGGCTTAAAGTCCCTCCCGGAGGACTTGTTCCCTGAATTTTTCCGCCCTTAAAAATTCCACGACCTCCACCGGGTTTGAACCCGCGTACCACGAGTCATGAGGTGAGAACGTTACCTCTAGACTACGGAGGCCGCTTTCCTTAACCTTTAACGGCCGGAGTTTTGAAACGCAGGTAAAGCTAGCTGACCAGGTTTTATTTAAATGCCCGCTGCTTGCAGGGGTTTAAATCCACGTTTCTCCTCTACGTTTAAATGCCAGTTCCACTTAGAGCCCTTGAGCGTTGTATTTGGAATTGCTCTATCTAATACATTTTTTATGATAAATGAATGGAATTAACTAAAAAATTCTTCACACAACAGTTCTGCAGTATAAAATCTTTCCTGTTTGTAACACTTGGGCTTGTTAGCAGAAACCCCATGCCATAGAAGTGTGCTGGCCATAAGCCTATATATTTCTATCTTCAGAAGTTTCTCAGCTTATTCAGGGTATTTGGCGGAAGTTGATACAAAGGAAAATTGCCTGCCCCCTACTTTCTTTGAAAAACCCTTATTGCTGCCAAACAATCTTCTTCCATTTACTGGATCTGACGATTCTGAACAGTTTCATCCTGCTATCATCCTGCGGTGCGAAAGTGTCACATAGGGACTTTCGTCTTACCCTTATGCGCAACATGCTGGAACATGCTGTAATGTGTCGCTCCCAACCACAACGCCCATTAGGTCGACTTCCTGCTCTGTCATCCACAATATTTCGTCTAGAGGAGGCCAATCGACATCACTGGCCGACCTCTTGTGCCATGAGAATGAAATGCCGTGTTTGTTCTGCACGTGGGAAGAGGAAACGTGTTCAGACGAAGTGCGAGAAATGTGATGTGGGACTGCATTCTCGTGTGCTTCAAACAGTACCACACGAAAGCAAAATTTAGTTAGAAGACGCAGGGGAGTAGCCTGTACAACCATGAAACAGATAACAACAAGAAAGGTATTGTACATTGCATTTACTGCCAAAGAAGTAACGGGATGCTTTTAAGCCATTTAGCAAAGAACCGGGATGCCATCCCGCCGCATCCCGCCCCAACTCAAGCCCTGCCTGGTTCGAAACTTGGCATTGCCTCAGACCTTGAAATGATAAGGACGGGGTATCTCGTGTTTGTTCTATATAAATGTCAGTGAATTGAAATCTTCCTGTAGATTTTCGAAATGTGAGGCACTTCACTACTGATTAGTGACCATGAAATATGCAAATAAAAGAAATAATTTAGGACAGTGTTTCCCAAACTTTTTCGGACCACCGCCTCCTTAGTTCCATAAACTCATCCCCAGTGCGCCCTGCCCTACCCTTTAAATAGTAGTCTTCAGGATAACCCACTAAGGCAAATAATAACAATAAACAAGATACCACATTTAGTAGCCGCTTCACGGCTAGTAAATTCTTAATGCGATAAATAGACTTGATGAAATGATACCAGTTTCTCAATGTCTGGTCTAAAGTCACTTCAACAGTAAATAAGCGAACAACGCCCTCGGAAAATTCCCAGCACAGCCCACTTTAAGAACCACTGATTTAGGCCTACGTTTACCTAAACATAATTGACAAGTGGAGGGTTAAATGAAATAGACTTCTGAACGAACCAAACCTGAACAAAAACTGAAATTGTTTCACAGAATTTTGTATACGTCTGTCATATCGGGCTTCTTCCAACTCCATCCCATAGTCTGTGGGCTCTTACTTGCGCACGAACGGAATAAAAAGGACGACCATTGATTGATTTTGTCGAGTGAGTTGATGGTCTTCGATTTTTAATTGATACGCACATAAAACTGCTGCAAAAATTATTTTTTTCTGTCCTCAAGTGAGCACCATGACATGAAGATTAATTTTAGAGTGGAGGAAATTGTGGAGTATCCTCGAAATACATGTAGAGTGTTCTCAGCCTCACGCTTCGGCCTCTTTACCCCCTGGAGAGGCCCGCCTGTACACATTAAAGAGGAGACTACGTGGGCCGCAGTGTCGGCCTGGACATGGAGGTAAACGAAATGAACTGTGCCCCTTCCGGAAGTCGGTCCCCAGTTGCCCAAATCATAGCTCGCCACTGTACTCAGTGGTTCAGAATCTGTTGTAGTGTTGGTTTCGCAGTTTGGTCGCCTTACACGTGACGGTTCTAGGTGTGAGGTCGACGTCTCCGGCAGAGGATGGACCGCACCCACGTCGAGAGGTGAGCTTCGCGAACACAGATCTGCTCTTCAGCCTGTTCAGAGGAGTAGAAGAGGAGCAGCCGAAAGTGACTGTTGTACGCAGAGGAAGGTGGGTACTGATCTTCTCAGCTTTGACAACTTTCATGATGCAAGAAGTGCCAGTAGCCGTGCTCACTCCTTCAGAACCAGATACCTGCTGCTGCATATTTTCAGTCATGCCTTCAGTTACTGGTCAATGAATCAGTATAGAAGAATTTACAACACTCCCATAGAATTTGTTATATCCTACAAACTGATCGTACTAATTAAAATCTATAAACGAAATCTACACGAAACACACAGGTAACCAATCTTTGGATGAATTTTCTGTTCAGAACGGTCCGAAACAAGTCTGAAACAGGATCTTCATCGTCATTGCCTTTCGATTTTGCTTTACGGTGCGAAATTTGGAGGGTACAAGACAAAACAGAAGTTTTAAATGAATGAGAAACACAGCAGATTCTTCATTGTGGCGACATTGCTAATTTATTGTGTTCAAGCATAGATATACACATACATCTCGTAACGGGAAGAGGTATTTTTGTTATTGCTAGTGGGGTGGGACTAAATCCCTTGTACTGCGGCCACTTCTGGCTTATTGTACCAGCCCCAGATGATAGCTGAGGGTGATTGTGGAGCAATTGGTGGAATGAAGATTGGCAGGGGAAACCGAAGTACTCGGAGAAAATCTGCCCCTCGCCACTTTGTCCACCACAAATCCCACTTGACCAGACCCGGGATCGAACCCGGGCCGCCACGGTGGGAAGCCAGCAACTAACCGCTTGAGCTACGGCGCGGCCTAAGAGAAGAGGTAACTCTCATATGAGACACCAGTAAGGAGGTTGGTTAAAACCGTCACCACGACGCAGGACAAGATCATAATGTAACGATAGCTTGGCCTAACAAATTCTTCGAAATGCGGACAAGATAAATACTTTCAATTGACAGTAACAGACTGAAATTACTGTAAGGAACGTAAGAGAAGATAATGTCAATTTAGTATTTGATGTCATTCAGTTCAGAATTATAATTTTACCTTCTGTTTCTGTGATACGTCTCTTTGAGAAAGAGAACATAGAGAAGACGGGAGGAAGTTGGAGGAGATTGGAGAGCATTACAAATTGTGGAGCTCCATATTTTATACCAGTCACTTAATATTATTAGAGGGATCAAGTCAAAGACTAGAAGATTGGCGAGGTGTATAGTACGCAAGGGGGCTAAGAAATAGGACTAAAACTGTAATTACAAGCCTGTCGATAGCTGAAAGTTTAGGGAACATGGTCGTGCGTGAGAGAAAATATTACGTTGATCTTAAAGGAATAGATTATCACGTTAGGGACTGAATTCATTTGGGTGAATCTAAGCTGTCTGACGATGCTGTATCAACTATAGAATTATTTGGCATCGAATAGTATGGGAGCAGCCGGGATGCTTAAACGGTATAGCTACGAGCTGGGCGGCCTGGGTTCGATTCCAGGTAGGGGAAAGAAATTGTTATCTGCTCCACAGCGTTCACTCAGTCTCCCATTTGATGGGTACGGGGCCTATCTCCCTAGGGTTAAAGCAGCCGAGGCGTGAAGCTATCCGCTCACGTCAATCTAGTACAGAGGTCAAGAATATTGGAGATATGCCTCCACTCCCTGATATGTCTTCATGGCGTAGTGTTTAATCAATTATTAAGCACAGGGAATACTAGCTCTTCTACTTATAGTATGGGAGGATGATCTTCAGTAAATATGATTGGCTACAACTCGAGCGTACAATCGCGGCATCTGGAGGGAAACTGTCACCGCCACTTTCTTAACGCAACTGTACGTATTATCAATTAAGCGAACCTTCTCAAGCGGATTCATTCGGCTGAGCATAGGGACCACTGACAGCCTCTTCTGAGCCTTCTCTTTCCCTAAAAGAGAGGGGGAATTTCTGACTAGCCGAATAACCATTAACTTCTCAGGGGTCTTCAATTTTTGTCTTGAGTGTGGTTATTTTGGAAACGACTGAAATAAGTTCTTGAATATGGTTTTATGCTTTTCGGTATACATAATCCGTAATAAGGTTTATTAATTTTATTAATTCTGGTCCGTCACACTAGTTGATTATTATAGAATGATTTGACAACACCGTTTAATGTGACTCAGTATACGTGTATGCTTGTATAGTGCCTTTACATGTTTCGGTCAGTTGTGACCATCTTAAGAAGGCAATAACAACATGTTAAGGTACTACTATTACTGGTATCATAGTACTTAAGCATTTTTTTTAATTCGCTTATTGGGGGTGGGGTCCGACTGGGTCCACTCGGCACGGTGGTCACTGATTGGCCTATTGTAGCCTACCCAAGTGATTATGATGATGGAGAATTTGGTGGAATGACGATTGGCAGGGGAAACCGAAGTACTCGGAGAAAACCCGCCACAGCGCCACTTTGTCCACCACAAATCCCACTTGACCAGACCCGGGATCGAACCCGGGCCGCCGCGGTGGGAAGCCAGCGACTAACCACTTGAACTATGGCGCGGCCTTACATAACCATATAGTTTTGTATAAAGATTTTTAATTAAGTTAAAAGATGTTTAAGAAAAATAAATTATTAATGTTCTTAATATATAAAATCTTGAACCGCTGCGGTTTATGTGTGCGTGGCTCTTCTGCGGAAACAGGAGATTTGGGTGTTATATGCTGTCTGAGGTTCGGACAGCGTTGTTTCCCCGTTTTTATATGATTAGTTACGGAACTGCTTTGTTGTTAACTTGTTTGTCTTTTCGCTGTGTATTTATCTAATAATTTATTTTTAACTTAAACGCCAGTTAACTTTATTAAAAATCCTTAACTAAATGATTTCTTTGCGATTGTGGAGTGAATGAAGATAAAAACTGCTCAACATTTTTAACCTCTGCACTAAATGAAAGTGAGTGACCAGTTTCACACTCGCAGGAGAGGATCTGTCGGTGCTAATTATATACAAGAACTTTGGTGAGACGCAAATCCTGTGTGTAATGTACCACAGCTGAATCCCTGATCGTCCAGTCAGTACCAGATCATTTACGTGTATTAAGCTATCCCATACAAACAGGTAAAGTTGTTTCTGTGCTTAACTAATTAGGTACTACGCCATGAAGGAGTATGGAGGAGCAGGTGTATAGATCCACATTTTCTTGACCTCGGCACTAGATGGAGGTGAGTGGTCAGCTTCACGCCCCTGCCGCTTTACCCTCGGGGTACCCATTGGAAGAGAGACTGGGTGAACCCCAGAGCCGATATGGACATGGAGAAGATGTAAGATTCTTGGTAATACCGGGACTCGAACTCCGACCCCTCAGTCGTCCAGCCGTTAGCCAGTTGTTATACCTACTACGCTAACCCGGCTCCATATAAAAAGATATTTTAAATAAATGTGTTTGATTTAAGATCTGTAATTTGTATCGTGATTGAACACTCTTCTGCAAATAACGATTCATATTTTAGTATCAGCCAGCAGCGACAAAACTTTGTCTGAGTCAGATCATAAGGAAAATTAGCAGCAGGACCTGGTAGTACACTAACGACCTCTTCCATCTCTCTCTTTTCTTTGACGACGACACACATGAAAAAGGACAGCAGGTCCTCTAGCTGAGCAGTGACTCTGTTCGTCTTTATAGTCTGCACATTGAGAACTAAGGCAACGTCTACACCAGCGCACAAAATGCGTCCGTTGTAACGAACGTTGCAATGAAACTACGCACCGCATTCTGCAACTGTGTGGTGTCCTCAGCCAAGTACGTTCGTTACAATGGACGCATTTTGTGCGTTAGTGTAGACGCTGCCTGAGGAGTGCCGTGCCGTGCCGTGCCGTTTAAGCTATACATTGCATATGGTTGATTGCGCGTATTCATTTTAAGTAGACTCTAAAGAAATAAATGATAATTGCAGACCGAAGAAGCCCCCCTCCACCGTCCTGACCAGGGTGTTGCGGGACGAAGACCCCTGCCTTGTCAGCACCGTCACCGAATCCATCCTGCCTCTGATCCCTGACAGAACAGGGTCCGGATCTCAGGCGCCAAGACTCGCGCAGGGACAACAGGTCTGTCCTTTCATTTATTCTCTGTTACGTATGAGTTTAGTTGATGATTATAATAACTATTTATAAATGTATATACATATAATAATTGTGTACGAAATTTGTTGGATTGCTGACTCCTAAAATTACAAGGAGTACCGTCATTTAAGAATGTACATCTCACTGGGTACATACTGATTATTATCTAATCATCGATTTCTATGGTTAAATCTAAATAATGTTCCGTGGCAGGTCTAAATGTTCGGCGTTACTGTGAACATTTCTTGGATGGTTGCAATGATATTGAAGTTATGTTGACTTGATTTGGAAGACACTTTCTTTAATTTCACTTGAGAATATTATATACTTTTGTTGCCTTTCTAAGGGTTATTTCATTGTGTGTCACTGCTCTTTAGTACAGACATTCCTATCATATAGGTACTTTATAGGTACCGTAATTGTTGTTGTTGATGTTACATGTTAAAATCTGATGAGTCACTTTTGATGTCCCAGAAAACGATATTAAGTTTACTTTAAAGAAACTGACACTAACTGTTGGTTTGTTATTAATAATGGTAATATGTACCAATCTAATAAAATCTTAAAGAACGACAAATTAAATAATATTCAGTAATTAGACCTCTATGCAAAAGTAAAAACTAAAAAAAGTAAAGCTCTCCCTGTACCAGGCCGTGAAGGCCCATAGGGTTGTGAGACGTTGAGGGTCCCACATTATCTAGACAATCGGCTCAAAGATGGCGGTAAGGTAAGCCTTACGCGCCGGCCGCGCTTTACTCCCCAGAAAAATTATTTAATTAATTCCTGGTACTCAATTTTGCTAGAGACTGAGTGAACCCCAGGGCCATAGTGCGGCCGGAAGGATTAGGTCAATTGAAAAAAATACAATTACCTCATCGGGATTTGAACCCGCGACCTTTCGGCTTGTAGCTACCGCGTGCTCCCCATTATACCTGTATGGCATTTCTAAATGTTTGTCCGCCAGCTCCTAAAATTGCTTCATACAAGAGGGCGAAAATGTTTTTCAACTGATCCCACGCAACATAGTCCGCTGGCCCGTTTTGAGAAGCTGACGTTCTCTCACGTGGTTAAGAAATGTCCTGCCCTTTATGGCACTATAAGGTTCAGTTCAGTGTTCACAACTGTCACTGGACCCTACCTTGTGCGAGATGAATTCAAGAAATTTTGGCAAAACCTATTTAATACTAACACCTTATCTATCCCATCTGTCTTGTGGTTTCTTCGCTTCATATTTTTCCGCCATAAAATTTGTGAGACTTTTTCATCTCCTCCGTGCGTAGTATTTTGCTAGCCCCTTATATTGCCGTTAATTCTTAGAACATAAAATAATTGCTGTTTATAAGAAAACGTGTTTCTAACTTAACATGTTGCAGGTCCTGGCCATGGTTTCCCTGAAGGACGGTGATAAGTCAGTGTCACTGCCCTCTCTGAATGTCGAGCACAACTACTCGCAAATTCTCTCCGAGCTAGTTATCAAGCTTTAGACCAGTCAGCAGGAAACCCTCGTCCGGACTTAATCTGTAGCAGCATCGAAGCCGTAGCTTCACTTCGTTCCGTCCGTCTCTTAACGGAAAGTGTCTACAAGAAGATAAGCAGTAGAGATGGACGTATATTTTACCGTTGGTGAGAGCTTGTGTGTTACATGAACTCGAATGCTATAAAACCCAGATAACTAAAAATATGTAGTTATTTTCGGAGACTAATTAGTTTCTGACATGGATCATTTATGTTCGTATAGTAAGGCTATTTACTTCTTCCGACGGGTTTTTTTGTTGTTGTCGGTGTAGAGGTGTATATTCATTATTATGCATTTTATATGAAAACCATAAATGCTCAGAACGAGTTTGGAACTCATAAACAGTGTTCGGGTTCAGGCGGTCCAAGGCTGCTCCAACACAGGGATCAGCACTTATTTTAAAATTGTAATTTTTTTAAACCTCAACTTTATTTCAGTGATAATATCATTTCATTCTGTGAATGTATGTAAATATTTATGGTGTTTTTTATTGTTAGTGGGGTGTGGGTAATGCGGCCACTTCTGGCCTATTGTACCAGCCCCAGATGATAGGTGAGGGTGATTGTGGAGCAATTGCTGGAATGAAGATTGGCAGGGGAAACGGAAGTACTCGGAGAAAACCTGCCCCAGCGCCACTTTGTCCACCCGAATCCAACTTGACCAGACCCGGGATCGAACCCGGGCCGCCGCGATGGGAAGCCAGAGACTAAGCGCTTGAGCTGTGGCGTGGCTCTTTATGCTGTTAGTAGCCGGCATTTCTCTTCATTACTGATGATATGCGAGGGGGGAGGAGGAACGACAGGAAAAAGTGCCTACGCATGAGCAGTACGGTAGTGCTCCGCCCCTCGGACATTAATGTCCATCTTGTTCTCGTCAATTATTCCCTTTCCATGCCATGTTTCACCCAACAAACATGTGTGTTTGCAAGGAGCCATGGTAACTTGGATGCAGATTATAAATTGTGGAACAACTCATATATAGGCCTACACTTTAAGTTGTGAGACAAAAGGCGAGAAAACAACAAAAGTTGTTCAGAGGAAGTTGTCAGGATATCTAAGCGAAACAGCTCGTTAATAGCATAGAAACCGTTAAGCAAACGTGTCAGGGCTAAAGCATTAGTAAGCACTGATGTTCAGAATTGAGGCTCATTCAAAGTGTTTTAAAATGTTAAGAGTACGTGCATTATGAATATACACTTCCTCTTCTCATATTCATGAACATATAAATGTATAATATCTAACGAGGAGAAGACGAAGCAAATGATGGCTAGAACTGTCCTATTGTTCTTTTTGGACCACATTAAATTTCAGTGCATAAACGGTGACGGTAAGAGATGTTCGAAGATCATGCCGATGTTTTCAGCGTGCACAGTTTGGTAATCGCTTCGCCATCTCTTCGTTGGAGCATAATGACCGTGTATACTTACCAGAACTGGCGCATCCCTCTCATGCAGGGTTACGAGATCTGTGTCTGTGATCACGCCCTTTTTTAACTTCACTTAAAGCAGGATTTATATGTTATCTATAAGAACCAAAATGAAATCAACTCTTAATGCAGGTTCTTCTAAGGCAAAAGGCCAAATTTGAACAGAATTTCTTCAATAGTTCCGAAGATGAAACATTAGTACGAACGGGCACGACCTTCCCTCCTCGTTTTATCATTTTGCAAGGAAAACCGATAAAAATGCCAGATATGTAGTTATGTAAGAAATTCTCATGAAAGTTTTAAAAATTCTATCTCCTGGGATACAACGCTGTGTAGTCCGCTGAAAGTCAGCCTACGTTTCGGAGGAACATGTCACCTCCATCTTCTGGGTTGAAGCATGTTATGGTGTAAAGGGGGCGTGGAGGATTCTCTCCCCTTCTTCCGTCATCCATGCCGTTGCGCCCTTGGGGAATGGCCAGTTGCAAGGCTAAGCGCTTGTACTTGTCTCGTTAGCTACATCTTGGCTGTGAGTTCACAGTATCTCTAACATGGGAAGTAGGGGAGATCGGGGAAATAGAGGGTGTGACTGTGGGGTAAGTCATTAACACACGCATCCCCCTTACTTGGTCTACTTTCGTCTACTAATATATACACTTATATACATATCACTTTCATAGCCGACAATTGCCGGTTACGTACACATTATAATTCAGATAAATATGTACTTGGGTTCATCATCCTAGGGTCTACTCTCTCTCTCTCTCTCTCTATCGTGGTGGTTCCTACTCAGGGCCTACTCTCTCTGCCCTAACCCTATAACATGGCACTTTAATAATATCACACTTTATATATCCATGACTGATATGAACAGTTCGACTTACTTGGTGTAGGAAGATGAGGGTGTCCCCTCACTTAGTCTGGCACGACCATGGCTTTGGCTCTCCGGGCCTCTGGCTGGCTACTCACTTAATATTTGGCACTCAGATACATGGATAGATCGATTGATATAGATTGATGTGTATAGACTGATCAAAAGATAGAAAGATAGCTCCTCCAGTTGTGTCAGCTTCTTTATAACTAGGGCCCGGATTTCTATGACATGTCATATTTTTTTCCTAGGGTTTAATCCTATTTTTAAATGTAATTATGCATGTTTCCTGTCATTCTTATTGAAATTATGTCGTTTTTATTGTGCATATAAATGCATATTTTAGAGTTTTATTGGTTTTACAGCATATTTTGGCATAATTTCGAAATAAGGTCATATTTTTTTCATTTTAGAAACAATTCTTTGATATAATGTAAAATTTCGGCTCCATAATGTTTAGTATTACAAAATAAATTTCAGGCTGGACTGTTGCTTCAATGTGGATTAAAGTTCAAGTACAT